GCGCCGGGCGCGGCCGAGGACGGGGACGTGCGCCGCGTCGCCGACAACGAGAGGGACGGCGTGCAGTACAGCTACACCTTCTTCCACTTCATGCTCTGCCTCGCCGCCCTCTACATCATGATGACGCTCACCAACTGGTACAGGTAAGCGAGGCAGAAAGCCAGGGGTTCCCTGTGCCCAGCTGCTTCAGGTGCTGCCCCTGTGCCAGGTGCGCGGGGCTTGTGCCCTCTCACTTCTCCGTTGCTGACTCAAGCTGTGAGAAGGCAGCATCAGCAGCTGCAGCCCCAGGGGACTGCCTCACCACGGCGAGGGCAGGAAGGCTGGGAGGAAGGACACGTGTGAAACTGGTCTAAGGTGACCTCCTGGGAAGTTTGTCAGAGGCCAGCCTAATGTTACTGGCTCTTCACCATGAGGAAGGTGTTCAGGGACAGCCGTACATGCCACTTACACAGGGATAATGATTTCCTAGGTCTGCTGGGAGCACGTGGGCATTTCCTCTGCTGCCACAGCTTACAGCTGTTTTCTGCAGGGCTGCTGCAGAAGGCTGTATGAATGAGCACACACACGTACAGGGCAGCAGCCAGCAGGAGGTAGTTCCTCCAGGAGTGGCACATAACATACATGAGCCCGTCGATCTTGAAAACTTGGCTCCAAGAACAAGGGGTTTATGAAGGAGCCACAGGAATATTGGTGGTTGAGTTGCACTGTGCTCCCCAGAAGGCTCTTGCATTGTCTGAACTTCAGATCCATAGCGGGGATCAGTGGATGGTGCCTCCTACGTCTATTAATTGCCTTCTTTACTTTTTAGCCCTGATGCTGATTTTAAAACAATGACAAGTAAGTGGCCGGCCGTGTGGGTGAAGATGAGCTCCAGCTGGGTTTGTCTCCTCCTCTACCTGTGGACCTTAGTGGCTCCTGTCGTCCTTACTAACAGGGACTTCAGTTAAACTGCTGCACCTCTCTGAGCTTCCAAAAGTGGGGAGTTTTTTTTGCTGAAAGCCAAAATGCTCATATATTGCTCTAGTTAACACTATGTTACTGTTTCTTATGTTGATATTAACGTGCAGGTGGGTAGAAAGTTACATACTGCGTAATGCTTGATGCAGGATCAAAGTTATTATCAGTTATCTGTTATTAACCTTCAGTCATGGTTATCTTAGTACTGCAGTTTAAAAATTCACTGCAGCTGTGCTGCCCAAGCACAAACCAAAACGTCTGTTCTGTCCAATAGCCACGACCCTTCTACTGAATAGAAGTAACACTTTAGCTAAATATGAAGTAATATATTTTAAAGAACAATTATATTCAGCATAATGCACTACTATGCTAATGCTTCTGTTCCTGGAAGTGTAAGCTATGCTGCTTGATTTCTACATTCCACTGCAAAAGCTTATTTAAAGCAAAAGTGTATTAAAATGATACTTACCTTCCTGTGTTGTGGCAAAAAACACCCCCCTTATTTCTCACCAAAAGATCAGAACTTTGAGGTTGAAAATCTGGTAAACTGCAACTTCTTTTAAGAACAAACTTGCCCCTTCTAGGAGGCAAATTCTACGGTAACTTCTTTTTTAGTGTGTTTGCCAAATATCGAGTGGTAAGTGTATGACTACCTTAAACAACTTTATGGTGGACAAATAGAGCTTTTGATTGATTCCACTTGTAATATGCTTACAAAAGTAATGTACATGAAAAGATTATTATTGACATTTGCACTGTAAACGCATTTGAATAAAGCAGACTAACTACTGAAACTGCTCTGGCTCTGCTGAGAAGCAGCTGTTATTCTCCAGGGCAAAATACTACCTGTGGCAATTAACATGCTGATTAGCTGCTGCAGTCTCCGGCTGGATGTTCTCTCCATGCAGCAAATACTCCTAAGACATTTCTTTTGAAACAAACAGCATCTTCCATGTGACTCTCTGGATGTCAAATCCAGTTCCTTCAAGCTGCTCAGGTTTAGCTGTGCAAGTGAAATTCAGTCCTGCAGTAGACAGCAACACCTTTCTCTGATGTGAGGCTGTGGCAATTAGACTTGGTTGCAACCGTGTGTTCAGTGTGGAACTAAGTGTATGTTGCTATTGACTTTTAAAATAAAATACCCCAAGATGACACAAGGCAAAACCAGTTAAAATATCAAATTAGCAGCTGTTATGTGTTTAATTACCCAGTCATGCATCATAAAATTACACATTTTGACCACTCCATTATATAAAATGCAATATAAAAATAAATTTTGTCAAAATAAGATGTACACTTAACCACCCAACACCTCTAGGCCCATGTATAACAGAAGGCAAAATTATTAATTTGATTAACACTAGGATTAACTCATGCCACAATGAGACTTAACAAAAACAATACAACAGCTAATTCCTGAAAATACCTCAGGGTTCGTAAGATCCCTTTCCAAGAGTATAAATTCAAGTACTTCTATGTACAGTATGCAGCTACCTTCTGCCCCACTTCATGGGCAAAGCTGCAGCTGCCCAGTGCAGTGTGAGCATCTCCCCACTACCTGCTGGATTTGGCAGGGATGGATTATGTACTGGGCAAGACATGTAACCTCTGGAAACAAAGTGGTTTCAGGTGGAAAAAAAGAACAGATTGGTTTTAGTGCTGTAAAAAAAAAAAAACAACAACAACAAACCAACCAAACCACAACCACCCTGACCTGTAAACTTTTCCTATCTATTCTACTTGCAGATAAGGAGACTCCCTTCTTAAAGCATGTGTTTATTTTCCAGCTGCTGACATGAGAAATTTTGGCAACGGACTGATTTCTTTGCTAGTAAATGCTAAAGCTCAAAGAGCAGTCTCAGCTCAGACTCAGGCACATAAGAGAGCTGTGCTTGGTTTCTGTAAGAGAAGCCAAGCACTAGATACCAGCCTAAAAAGGGTTAGATACAGCTCAGTAAAGCTGCAGCTCTGTCTGGCTTGAGTTCTAAAGCCAAGAAAGAGAAAATTAGAAGCAACAGTTAGATGCTTCATACAGGTCAGCTTGGCTTATTTCAAGCATCCTGATGTAACTGCCCAGCTTTAAGAAAAGGAAGTTCTAGAGGCATAACACAGGCTGGTTTCAGTATTGATAATGTAGCCTTATCATGTTTAAATCATATGCTTTACTCTTAGTTTCTCTGTGATCAGAGGAGAAAAGGGGAGGGAGAGATGGACCTAGTTTGCCTACTATTGAAGGCATACAAACGAATAAGAAGCCTGACAAAGGCAGTTGGTTTCTGTAGAGGCTCCTCAGCCTTCTGCTGAACACCACCAGATTTTTTTTCTTTTTGAAAGACACTAAATTGAGTTTTGAATATTCAACCTCCCTCTCTAGTTATTACATAAAGGGATCAAAGTAGCTGTTCTTATGGGTTAACAGTCAAAATATCACCCCTACAAACCCTGTGGCACAATTAAGGGAAGATATCAAATACCAGTCAAGCCTTCACCTCTAGGAAAAGTGGTCCATTCTATTTTCATTTTTCAGTTCTACATTGCACATTGTGGCTGGAATTAAGAGGCACAAAAAAACCCCAACACTCTGCTCTGGAAGTCAAACAGTGTGGGCAGCCAGTTACTTTTCTAAGTCCCAGCTCTGTGTGCTGCTGTTGCTGAGTGGCTCAAAGAACTGAACTGAACTGATCTTTGTGAAAGAGGCAGCACATGCTGGTTCAGAAATAAGCAAGTGGCCAGTGGTACCCTTTTACCTTATTTTAAGGAGATGAAAAAGAAAGTTCTTTTTACCCCCCATGCTAAAGGTAACAGCTGTCAAAGAGGAGTTAGGAGTTGACTTAAGAAGGTAAGAAAAATCAGATGCTTCCAGTGAGGAAAATTAATCTCTTCCCACCTTTAATCTTAAACAGTTTGAGCAATGAGTTCATTGCCCCCACAAATTTTGAACTGCCACCCAGCCAAAAGTGTCATGGTTTACCCCTTCACCCCCAATCTCCGTTTAGAACGCTCGGATGACAGGTATGGCATCTACCACCCCCCAGCTCCAGGGTGAGGTCTGCTGCCAGGTCAGGAGGTCATTACACTGGTATAGGAGCCTCCTCTTGGCAGGGCAACCAGGCTGTAGGGGGACAGAGAGGAAGACAAGACATTCAAAAGTTTGGCACTTTGAAAAATGAATGTCTGAAATCCTCAACCTGCAGTCACACTTGGCACTAAGTAAAAGATTTCAACCAGAGGAAGTGCTCTAGAGGTAAGTCTCCAATTAGAAGGAATGTTCTTTTTCACCAATAGTGAAATATTTCACCCTGAAGTAACTGGGTGTGCTTTCCTGGTCTGAGTGAGGTTTCCCATCTCCACACCATTACAGTGAAGAAAAACGTGCAAAGAGTGTGCTGAGAGTTAAGTCCTAATTCAAGACCATTGAGCAGATTGAACTAGGGGAGTGGGAACAGCTTATTTAGACATGGTTACCTTACCCTGATTTGACATCAGAGTCTTGGTTCTGTCTCTAGACAAAGTCCTAGAAGCACAGGCATAGAGGCTACAGGTAAATATTACAGAGGTGATTAAAGTCTAACTTCATACAGGAACATGACAACTAAAGACAAAAGATGTCAACAAAGTTGTAACATTGCACAAAAGAGCCAACAAGCACAGTGAACAAAATGCTACAATATCAGGAAATTTAAGAATGTGCTTTCCAATAGCCTGTCTGCATTTGGTTTTGCAGACGTAAACTCAAATTCTGCCCAAAGGAACAAGCTAAAGCAGCACCTTGCTGTCTCAAGTATTGCCTAACAACTGCTACAAAGCCTCCTTAACAAACTCTGTGTATGATTTGCTTGCCCAATTCCTCATTACAATCAGCTGAAGAAAAGAACAACTTGAGTGTGGGGAGGTGCCTGATGTAGCTTTTTCTTATTTGGTTCTGAACCTTAGTATTTGAAGCTCTTGCCTAATCAAACACCTTAGCACTTGATCAGAAAAGCCTCTGTTTTCTGAAAATGAAGATTGCATCTGTTTATGATAAGCCTTGTTGTAGTAGTTAACCCACCAGTTGTAATTCCTCCTAGTGTGAGGAACTTTCAGAGATGATCTCTGTACTGCTAGTCATGGACAAGAAAGGTTTGCTCTGTATTAATTTGAGCTAAATATCCATAGAGATACTTCAGAAATGCCCACTCAGAACCTGAACCAAGCGCTAGAGGACAGGTAGAGTTAGACTTTTGTGTTTTTAAGCAATCTTCACTGACAGAACTACATTTTGCAGGGTTCAAAAGCCATTTTCTTGCCTTGGATTACCAGTGTTTGCAGAAGGAAAGGAACAGATGGTCACAAAGCTATTAAATCATTGTTGTCACTTCTCATCTGTGTGGGGAGGGGATAAGAAACTATCAAGCTTACCATCCTGCAATATTTTTTCTTTGTCATTGGAAAGAACAGGCCAGTTTACATCATTCATGAGAGGCTGATGAGACTCAAGTATTCTACCTAAGTGTGCTCTTTGCCTTTATCCTCCCTGAACTCTGCCCTGCCCCCACTGTGCCCTCTTCAGCTTCCTTTGGTTCTACAGTGTAAAGTGCCTCGGCGGTCTGTTCCTAAACTGCAGGTTTAGGAGTAAGGCAGAGTTCACAACATCACCTATCAGAACAGATCTTAACTGTGCTGGAAAACTTCCCTGCCCTGCTTCGTTAGTAACAGTAATAGAGCTGAGCTTTCATGCCTCGCAGAGAATCATCACACTGCTTTTCATCAGCATCCCCACTCACTAGCAGGTCGTGGGGAGAGCTGTCACAGGGCAGAACCAGCGGTGAGAAGTCATGCAGGAAGTCCTCCTCGGAGGCAAGCAGCAGCTCATTCCATGCAGAGATGTCCAGCTTCCCTGCAGTACCACCGTACTCTTCCGGCAGGATCACCGGGGGAATGTTCTGATGAAGGGAATTCAGATCACAGCCGTGAAGAAAAAACTGAAGGAGAAAGCAAAAGACAGCTGTAATAGTATGTGGCAAACACTGTACAGCAAGCGACTGAAGCAGTCAGCTAACAAGTTTATTTTAAGCTAAAGAGCAAATTTTAGAAGTGATGGCTTTATAGGCAACCTACAACACTGGGCAGGTGCAGTTAGACACACCAGTGAAAGAAGCCTTGAGATGATCCAAGCTTAGTGCAGCTTAAATCCCAGGAAGAGGGACTTGACACTTGCAAGCCTGTGCTGAGGTTCCAAATTCAGGTCATCCCAAAGTTCGTCCATGGGACTGGAAGTACTTATCCTTGTGGAACACCACATCATCCTCTGCAACTGCACCCAGAGCTACAGCAGAAATACTCGTGCCTTGCGTAAGGGAGAAGAGCAAGGAAGTGGGAACACAGATTTCCTGTGACAACACCTCATAAACCAAGTGTTACTTGCCAAAATAATAAAACCCCAGGGATGGAATTAATGTCCTGAATGCACAGCATACGCACTAAAGTTCTGTATTAATGTTGTGCAATATTGAATTCTTCAAAGCTTCCCTTTCATGATGAAGAATTTCCCCAATGGGCATATTTTTAAAGATTAAAGCAGAAAGGACCGGTTAGATCAAGTAAATGACACCAGTGTTTTTCTAGCTGTGAAGTTTTTCAACAGTTTTTACTTGCAGTGGCTGAGCAAGGAACTTCCAAACATTACAGTAACATTACAGACACAAATCCTTACCCGGTTTGCTATCTTTTCCTTCAGAAAAGGCTTGATGATTGCAAAAATGCCTTTGAATATACGAGGCTCGTTTATTATGTTAACAGCTTTTATTCGAATGGGGAATCCATCCTGAAGGGTAAAGAATATTTTTATAATGCAGTTTAAATAACATTTGTCATCATCTTCTCTTTAAAATCTCCCGAGACTGACTGCCAGCACAACCCAGTGGCTCCCAAACTTCTAGCTGAAGTACCAACACAAACCAGGATGTCAACAGAAAGGCACAATGTAATAGGGAACAGCTTTAGGATGAAATCTGTGAGCATAAAGTCAAGAGACAAGAACACCTTGCATTGAGAAATGTATTGCTGCCAGCAAATCTTCATTTCTTATGTTGCTCTCCATCTCCCCTGACAACAGCACTGAGGTCAGCAGGGCCCCTGGGTACCCCCAGCCTGGTAAGGGTGCAGTTACAAAGTGCTGACCCTCTGCTGAGGAGTGCTCCGTGCTCGGAGCCAGAGCAGCCTCCTTCTGATGCTGTGTCCAACTACCAGATTTGGAGCCCAATGTATATAAACACATACACAAATGTGTTTTTATATAAAGAAGAAATCTACTATCACTATTTTTCTGCCATTCAACCTATTTTGTCATGCTAACTGCAAAAGCCAAAGAGGCTCTGCTGCCAACAGAACCCACAGTGTCTCCTACAGAAGTTTAAAACAACATTTGTATGATTTCTGCTGGAGAAATTTATTCCCAGAAACATTTTTCCAAGGCAGAAGCTCATGATCAGTTAAGGCCTTGTGCCCCAGTGAAGTTTCTTTCTCTAATAACCAGCTCTACACATACAAAGCAAGCAGTGGGTGCTCGGAGTGAAAGGCAGGTAAGGTGGTGAGTGAATTAGCTCATCTCTACAGGAGATGCAGCACGTGTATGTATCACCCACACCTTTATGTCCTTCACTGAGTTCAGCTTTCATTCTGAGGACAACTTCCAGCAATAACAGCAGGACACCCACCACTTTATTTGTGCAAATTAAACATGGGCTCAGACAACTAAATGGCCTCTTTAGATCATGGTTTAAAGGAGCAAGTTCTTACACAGGCAGTCATAAAGTCACTAGTCTCACCTCCACAGACTCCTCTGATTCCCCCTATTCTTCCTTATCCCCCAAAGATATAAAGAACATAACCAGACAGAGTAAGAGCAAATGAACCTGTTCAGGAGCAGTTTTCATCTCACTCCAGACAGTGTGGCTCAGCATCAGGTAAAACTGCCAAACCTTCCTGCCCCTTTGGCCAGATTACTCCTCTCTCCTTTCACCTTCCTGTTCTGTACAGCTCCCTTGTACTTACACCCTTGCTCTGATTTGCTCTCCACCCTTTTCCTTCCTAACATCTAGTCAGAAATCCTTCTTATGACTCTCTGTTGCAGCCCCTCATGCTGAAGCAGCCTCTCTTCCTTCAGGGAGTGGATGGAAACCTTCCTCAAATCACACCCTTTCAAAAGTCCTCTGCAGAATTCTTCCAGCAGTGCTTGAACTTGCACTTGCTCAGTGGTCAGCTCCATCTTGGCTGACAGGAGCCATTTAAATACCAAGGCACTCCTCAGCACCCAGGCCAGTGGGTGCCTCCTCTCTAACTGCCACCCTCTGCTCTCTCTCTTCCTTACCCTTGCCTAGCAGAACTAGTTTTCTCCATTCCAACTCAACGTTTTTCTAATGCAAATTTCGCTTTAGGGATCACAAAAAAAAGGGCAAGTGAGGTAAGTTGGCAAGGGTGTGAGAAACTGGTTGGGCAGAGACATGTTTTAACTCTGGTAGTAAAAGCCAAGATGCTTCTGGTGACACAGTCAAGAACCCTAGACACAGCAGCAGTCATTTACAATGCACAAGCTTATTTTCCCACCAGTTCAGGTCTTACCTGAAGAATTCCAATCACTTTTTTGGCTACAAAAGGACCAAAATGAGACGCCTTAGATAAGCTGACTCCTTTGTAGTCTGCCAGGATTACAATTCCATTCACCTGGGTCTCTTCGGACTGAATGAGTTTTTCTAACGTTAAGTATATGGCACGAATGTTCTCAGTAATCGGATAATTACTGGGTGTCCATCTGTCTGAGGTTACAAGACAGGGATGGTAAGTTGGAGAGGAAATAGAAGCTAACAATACACATTCCAAAAACTGATTTTCTATTTTCCTGGACTCTTAAAAGTTAGTCTTTAATAGCCACCATCCTAGTTCAGAGCAGCCCTTCTTAAACAAGAGATAAATGGCAACTCATGTTTACTTCAGGGAGCAAAGGCAATGGTTTTAAGAAACCCATTCTCCACCCAGCACAGCTTAATAGAAGCAGTTTCAGCTCAGAAAGAAAGCAGGTAAATGGAAAAGAGGAGAATGAAAGAAGATAAATTTATGGCAAGCCTGGCAGCATCAAAAGCACAGGGAAGGCCCCGGTCGTTTCCATGGGAGTCAAAGCCACAGGCTCCTCTCTCCACTTACTGACAAAACAAATTACAAGCTTCCAAACACAGGCCAGCAGCCCTGTTCCAAATTGAGTTACTACCCGTTAATTTTTCTTGCATCACCTAGTATTTCACCAGCCTGGCCCCCTGCAGCTTCCCTGGGACGTAACTGCAGGAGGAGGTGCTGGTCTAACACTGCCCAAGGACAAACGTGCCCCTTCACAAGGGACCTGTTCCAGTTTCAGAGGACCCACGTACCCTGCGTGAGCAACCCCTGCCCACAGGAGAGCTGGAAAGGGATTTCTGGCCCAGCCACGCCCCGAAGAGGCAGCGCAGAGCCGCTCGGGCACTGCAGTACCTGGTCGGATGCAGACGACGTGGCGCCCCTGCGGGTCCCGGCGCGGCAGCACGGTGACAAAGCCGGACTCCAGCACCGGCCTGATGGCAGACGGCTTCAGGTCGCTGAAGACCTCGGGCCAGCTCCTCCTGCAGGTGTGGTAGTTCACCAGGAGCTGCAGCGCCCGATCGTAATCGAACTTCCTGGCTCGGAGGAACCTCAGCAAAAAGGCATCGTCCAGGCAGGTGCCCAGGGAGGGGTAGTCCTTGCACACCATGTCCCGCAGCGCCTGCACGTCCCGGAGCCGCCACTCGGGCTTCTCCTGCAGCTCCTCCCGCGCCTTGGTGACCAGCTCAGCAGACAGGGAGCACACGTACTTGGGGCGATCGGGCAGGGGCTCGCTGTCCGACGGAGACCCTGCCGACGGACTCGTCCTGGTGCAGTCGCTGTCTCCTGACATGATGCAGCAGGAAGCTGTCGAAAAACAAGTGCTACAGGTGACAAACATCCCCACGGACTAATGTATGGCTTCACATGCTTCCCATGTCCCGTGTCCCTCGGTTCCCCACCCGAGGAGTCTGCCCTTCCAAGAACCAATGCTACAGCCAGAAGCACAGTTTAAACATTTTCACTCTCCTCCTAGGATTAGAAAGTGCAGGTTTCTCTAATCTCTTTATCCTGCAGAGTGAGGAGAAAACTACCTTGGATGAAACCTAACCAAATTAAAAACAAACAAACACACACAGCAAACCAGAATTTCACAACTTCATTGCAAAACACAGAACTTAATTTGCCTTAACATTTATCTCCTATGTCCAATTGGAAATGAAAGCAAAGTAAATGCATCCCAGTCAGACAGGATTCTGACATTTGGTCAAATGACACCCTGCTCTGAGAAACTCTCCTAGCTGAGCCCAGACACTTGAGAGTTTTAATTAACTTCTCTGGCAAATGCACACATCAGTCAGCACGTCTGCACAGGCAAATGTTTTGAGCAATTTGGGATGAGTGACATTGAGGAATAAGAAGCAGCCACAGTTCTTGGATTGGATGAGCAGGTAAGCAAATGACAGCTCTCATGCCAGTGCTGCATGGGTGTTAAGGCAGGCTTGGTCTAGTCTTCAATGTGCTGCCAGTATTGCTGAACTAGAAGCTGAATTTCCAAATCAGTAGCAAGTGGATAGAGATGAGTGCAAAATTATACAGTGACAGGCCTGGTGTACTGCCTGTAGCTCGAGCTGGGACTGAAAGGGAAAATTATGCCTTGATTTCCTGAGCTGCTGCAGTTCAGAGTCACTCACAGCACGCTGACCACTCTTGGGTGATACAGAGGAATGGCCTGTCAGAACAACGCCCGTCTCACACAACCACCTTCCTCCTGCAGTGACAGACATCTGAACAGCTCGCTCCTGCCACACCTGCCTCAGCCTCCTCGGGAAAGGGACGTGCTTCACCTCGTTACAGCCTGGGCTCTGCAGGACTCCAGTCCTTGCCCCTGCCTTGACAGCCTGGGTGCCCATCTGCCTGCGGGCAGTGGGGCAGACGCTGAGCCCGGCCACTGCTCCGGGGTAGGCACAGGGGCAAGAAGTCCCCACAGACACCCCCAACAGCCCCGGCATCACCCCACAGACACGCCCCAGCTCCAGCATCACCCTACACCCCCACATAACCTCTCAGCCCCAGCATCACCACACAGACACCTCACAGCTCCAGCATCACTCTACACCCCCACATAACCTCTCAGCTCCAGCATCACCCCGCAGACGCTCCCCAGAGCCCCTCAGCTCCGGCACCACCCCACAGCTCCAGCGTCACCCCACATCCCTACATAACTTCTCAGCTCCACCACCACCCCACAGACACCCCAGAGC